GAATTTAAAAAAAAAATTAAAGGCGAAAAAACACCCTCTTTTTTTTTTTTCCAACGAAAAAACGAATTTATCTCCTTTCCCTCTTTCTCTCTTTGGATTTTCCCGAGTGGACTCTCTCCGGTGCTGAGGGGGAGGCGCTGGGCGCCCGCAGCCCCAAATTCTCGTTTTCCCCGATTTTACGGCGGTGAAATAATTCTCTCCTCAAGCCACAAACCTCCTCCGCGGCCGAGGGGCCGTTTCCCCGTCTCCCCGCGCACAAGCGCGGATCGAAAGCGGCGAAACCCGCCGCGGTTTTCCGCCGCTCTCCCGGGCCGGAGCCGCGGCCGGTGCCCGGGACCGGGGTCTCCCGCAACCGCGGCCGGAGCCGCCCCGGTACCCGGGGGCCGCAGGGGCGGAGGAGCCGTCGTTGGGCCAAAATCGTTTGAAAGAGGCTGGAATTGAAACAAAACTCATGGAAAAAAAAATAAAATTTAAATAAACCCAAAATTTCCGATTTTTTACGCAGAGCAACCTTGTCCCTGATCCTGGCAATTCTGTGCCTTAGTCCGCAGTATTAATTAGCGGCATTAATTACTGGCGTTGCCAAAGCTCTCGGGCATTTACCTTGGCCCAGTCCCGCTGTCGTGCTTGGAGTTTTGGGGTGGATTTGGTTTTTTTTTTAATAACGACGGTTCGCGCTGTGGCGGGGATTTGCTCGGGGGAGAAAGCCCGAGGATGAGAAGGAAGAAAAGGAAAAAAAAGGAAAGGAAAAACAAAAGGGAAGGAAAAACAAAAGGAAAGGAAAACAGGAAAGGGGAAAAGAAAAGAAAAGAAAAGAAAAGAAAAGAAAAGAAAAGAAAAGAAAAGAAAAGAAAAGAAAAGAAAAGAAAAGAAAAGAAAAGGAAAGGAAAGGAAAGGAAAGGAAAGGAAAGGAAAGGAAAGGAAAGGAAAGGAAAGGAAAGGAAAGGAAAGGAAAGGAAAGGAAAGGAAAGGAAAGGAAAGGAAAGGAAAGGAAAGGAAAGGAAAGGAAAGGACAATGAGAGAGAGAAAGAAAGAAGGAAGACAAAAAAGGGAAAGGAAAGGAAAGGAAAGGAAAGGAAAGGAAAGGAAAGGAAAGGAAAGGAAAGGAAAGTAAACACACAACAAAAAAAAGGGAGAACGAAAAGCGAAGGGAGAAAAGGCTAAAGGAAAAAACAAAAAAGAAAGGTGGGAGCGGGAAAGGGAAAAGAAAATTTAAATCAGACGAAGGAATCGGGGGCGCTGGGGGGGCGCTTCCAGGAGCCCGGCTCCCACGGGCAGCGCGGCCCCGGACCCCGGCTCTGGGCACGGGAGACAATTTGGGGCAGAAAGAGCCGATCCCGGGTCCCGGCTCCTCCGGGCCCGGCCTTACCCCGCACCCGCGGCCCCGGGGCTTCACGCAAGCGGGTGGATTCCACGCACAGACACGCGTCCTGGGGAAAAAACACGGGAGGAGGGATCACTCGAGCGCTCGTCCGAGTCAGGGGAGAGAGGACGGGACGCCGTCGTGTCGCGAAAGGGACACAACGATGTCGCCGCCCTCCCGAGAAATAATCACGGGGGAATTTCCTAGTGCTGAGCGTCGGAATCAGTCCGTGGCGGGGAGGGGGTTTTCCACCAGTGGGGACTTCGGCAGGGTGGGAGCGCACCCACGGACACACATGATGGGAGGGCGCCCAGGGACACGCACGCTGGGGGGGGGCACCCACCGCCCTCCGCGGACACGCGGGGATGGGGGCTCTTCTCACACGATCCCACGAGAACGAAGCCGATTCCATTTTCGCCCCCAGGACAACGAGGGACGGGGATGGCGGGTGGGGGGG